CCATTGGGCCTTCCCCCATAAAAAATTAATTTAATATCGAGTGGGCCGATGGCCCACGTATCAGATATTAAACTGATAAGAACAGATACTACACTTGATCTTAGCCAAAAGGCCGAGAAAGGTATGATTTAACCTTTGCCACAGCGGCTCAATTTATATGTCAGTTGGTTTCTGTGTTCAGCTTCTGTAAGCGATGTGGGACAAAAGTAACAACGACATCAGCATACTATTTTCAATGGAAAGTTCTTAATTATATTGGCAATTTAGCCGGTTTGGAAGGTGACTTTGGCTTCAATTACAAATTTCACGTCATTGTGCAAACCAAAAACCACATGACAATGTTCAAAACATTAAAAAAAAAAAAGGAAAAAAAAAAATCATAATATTTAACATAAGACCACAAAGTGTTAGGCCCGGTATTTTGTAACTATTAAATTCATTTTTTTTTCTAATTTTAAAAGGTGTAGAAATTAATAATTTTTTTCTGATTGCTCTAAAGTGTTGGGCCTGGTATTTTGTAACTATTTTCTTTTCAACTTCTTTGGTGTGTAGATGCAGTCTGACATAAGGACGAATGAAATGAAATAAGTTTAAATATCTCCATTTCTATTATTAAAAAAAAAATTGTAAAAATATCTTGGAATTAATTCAGGGTAAATGTTACATGAAAAGAAAAAATAGCGAAAAAAAAAATCTTGCACCAGATTTTGAACAAAACCCAATCAATTACATGGACACCACGGTCCGAGATGAATGACTCCGGCCTTTTGAAAGGTCTTCTCCGATTCGAACGTGGGACCTATTGGTCCGGTGCGCTCCAAGTCCGTGCGCGCGCAGGTACTTGCAAAAGCACCGAAATTGCTCCGGAACAAGACCTTTCGACGCACAAGTCAATATCTCGGTGTAGGAGAATAATGCGTAATAAATATAATAGTGTTTGTATTAAATGAGTCTTACTTCCCTACTGTGGAATTTACTTTTTATATAATGATTGATTGTACGGTCTTCCCTTTCGGGGTCATAGGTTCCCGAACCTATATCAAGGGTCGATTCCCCGAGCCGGTCGACATAGGTTCGACCCTCGGACCCTTTCGACCCTTGGTCTGTCGCTTGTCTTTAACTGGTACTTGAGCCAGTCGACCTAGGTTCGACCCTTGGGCCTTCGGCCCCCGGCCCGTCATGCGTTCTCAACCTGTCGACCCTTGAGCCGATCGATATAGAGTCGACCCTGTTTAGTAAAGATTTGGTGGGCAAGGGATAACCGAGTTACCCGACTCGGTTCGATCTCGAGGGAAGGCTATTCGAAGCTTCACTTACTACTTGATTGTCCAAATCACAAAAAGATCAAATAAAGTCCTAAATATTCTAAGCAATTGGATTGGAGGATGATTATCACTAAACGAGCACTAGAAAACGAGCAATTAACTAAAAGCAATATCAAATCACGAGTAGCAAACTAGATCATCGGAGTCTCATGCCATAACCATAACGAGATGATAATCAATCGACATAAAAAATAAACGAGCTATGAGCATTAGATTGCTAACCCTAATCGTCATAACCCTAAGTGATTAAGCCCTAACCGGGTCTTAATCCTTAAACGAGATCAACAAGCAATTAACTCCTCTATCTACTCAAGCAAGCAATCAAGTCTCGACTTTGCAACCATTATCAATCAAATCTAAATTTATCCTAATAAACATTATAAGTAGAAACGGAGCAAAAACAGAAGTAAAGAGCTTTAAAACTAAATACTCGTCCTTCCATTGCGTAGACGATGAAAAACGGAGTCAAAAGCTCGAAACTTGAAAGAAACCAAAGTCGCCGAAAAATTTCCCGTAAAATAGCATAAGCTCCTAATCTAGAGAGCAAAACATAAACATAAGCTAGTTCCCAAAAGCGAAAATGAAATATTGAGAGTTGGATGTTCAGAATGCAAAGGAACAAAAATATATATATAGTCTAGCCAAAACACACACTAGAAAATGCACAATTAAAATGGCACTATCGAGCTCTCCGCAAGATTCACGAGCTCGCCGGAGGTGATGTGCATGGGCGCGGCACTCTCGAGCTCGCCGTGAGATCCGCGAGCGCGCGGGCGCGAATGTGTGGGCAAGCGGGCGTGCGGAGGGAAGCACTCGCGAGGTCGCCAGCAGCGCCGCGAGGTCGCAAGTGGGGCGTGAGCGATTGACACTCTCGAGCCCGCCAGCTGCGCCGCGAGGTCGCGAGTAGGGCGTCGTGCAGCACGTCGGCGAAGCCTGGCGCGAGGCCGCGAGTCCTGGGCAGTTCGCATTCGCTCGACTAAGGCTCGAACTACTCGGAATTGACTTTGGGAAGCTAGTCTCGGAAATTGGCTCGACTCTTTCCTTTCGTCCTCGGAACAAACCTGAAAATACCCAAAAATACGGAAAATACGGCCAAATAGAAAACCTGAAAATTAAACGCAAAAAAAAAGTACGCCAAAATAGAAAATAAAAAGAAAGACATAAAAACACACGAAAAACGATAAAATAGACCGGTCGACATTAAAACGAACTTAAAACCGATTCAATAACGCACATAAACACATAAAAAATAAACGAAAAAACATAAAAAACAGACCCTCGGGTCAATCGACCTTCGGTCGCCATATGTCCTTAACTTCGACGAACCTTCGACACTGTTACCCTTATCAGTATCCAAAAAAAATTATTAGGGAGGCATAAAATAATATAATATTCAATAACATCACATAACTAGTACAACACCCGTGTATTACACGGGTTCTTGTTAAAAAATTATTTTTAAATTTTAAAATTAATGAGAAAACTATATTAATTTAGTTTACTTTTAAAAAAAAAAAATATTACTATATCTTTTAGAATGATATGTGTTACTTATGACTTACATGTGTTATATTATATTAATTTTTATAACTTATATCATATAACTACTTGAAATATAAATATATTAGTTGATAAATAATTTTATTTTTCTAATTAATATTAAAAATAAAATTATTATTGTTATGAAGATAAATATAAATTATTTTTTTTATACATACAATATGGATGTTAAATCGAAGCTCATCAAAAGAAGATTAATTTGATATATTACATATGTAAAACTGATAAAAAAATACAAAAGTTATTAACTTTTAAAATATATATACAGTTCAATAGTTATAATAAGAAATGATATTAAAATACAATTAATACATGTAACATGATCATAAATAATCAACATATTTATGGTAATCCGATCCTAATTATTTTTTGTTTGGAATTAAATTAATATTTACTCAAGCCTAATAACGAAGCATGTAATTCTGCCACATAGGATTCCGAAGCACCAGAAGCAGCCACGTAGGCTCAACGCATTCTGTATTAATATATAGGGGGATTCTTATATAGAAAAAATGTGTACTGTTACAGGAAAAATGGACAACACATATTATATATGTTTAATTAAATATAATTAATACACCAACCAAGACATCTAATCTATAACCATATATGCTAATTTAATTTTCCAAATCAAATAAATTTTATATATTTGGAAAGGTTAATCTCAAATTATTGACACAACATCACAAAATCAAAAATAAAATACAAGTAGAAATAGAATAAGATCTCGTTAAAAAAAACTCATCTTGCATGCTTTTTCAGTGATAAAAAAAATTTAATTAAAAATGAATATATTCAAAATTTACATTTTTAATTGGGCTAAAAATTTATCGTGCCATTATAACTTACATGAAATAATTGCCAATTTCGTGGGCAACGCCTTGACAAAAGGGAAAAAATTGGTTCTACTTTTACTAGAATTGGTGGGGTACGCCAGGCCCGAGCAGTAGTGTAACGCTTGGGCGACGTTTGAAGGCCCGAGTAGCAAGCTCCACAGTTGGCCTTCCCCCTTAAAAAATTAATTTAATATCGAGCGGGCCAATAACCCACATATCAGATATTAAACTGATAAGAACAGATACTACACTTGATCTTAGCCAAAAGGTCGAGAAAGGTATGCTTTATCAGATGCCAGAGCGGCCCATTTTATATTTCAGTTGGTTTCTCCTTTCAGCTTCTGTAGGCGATGTGGGACATAAGACTTGAGCTCAGCATACTGCATTTGTTTTTTTTTTTTTTTT